GCTATCGCCGACCTCCCAAGCCCGGCTCCACCTCCGGCAATGCTTCCGGATCCTCCTTTCCCGTTCCGATTTTGTGCTAGCCCCTTCCCGCCGACACACCCCTGCCTCTCCACGAGTCTGCGGTGACAACATGCGTTCTTCGCTCTCGCCCACACTGGCTCCCCTGTAGTCCCCCCGCTTAATCCTACGACTCTCCGTTCAGTCTCCATTCAGGCCGGGGCCTTCTTTCCCACCTCGTTGGCTCCACAAACTGCAGCAACGTTAATGGAGTCTTAAAAGAGAAGGAGCCAACGAAGAACTTTATCGCAGTCCCTCTTCCGAGTCCCGGCGGTAGAAAGAAGAACACTGTTGCTTCTGGGTTATCAACGACCGCCTTGGGAATACAAGGAGGGCTGGTAACCTCCAGGTGATTATATAATCCAGAGAGATCCACAGGAACAAGGTATAATCAAGGGCTCTTTTTGTAGAAAAAGTCCAGCAGGAACTCATTAGCATAATAGACCACACCCAACAGCAGAAACTCATAAGCATATTAGGCCACACCCCTGACAACACAGCTCATTAGCATATTAGGCTGCACCCCCATGTTACCAGAAGTGTAGTCATCCAGCCAAACCCACCTTTTGCTTCTTATTCTGTTTACCCTGTTTGTTGTCAAAACCCAGGGCTTTTCTTGTAGCAGGAACTCCTTTGCATGTTAGGCCACACACCCCTAATTGTAGCCAATCCTAATGTGTTTCTGCTGTTGGGTGTGGCCTATTATGCTAATGAGTTCCTGCTAGGCGTGGCCAACTCGGGAGCCAGCCGGAACTCCGTTCCTGTGCGTTCCTGCCCAAAAATAGCCCTGGGTATAATTAAACAATACAAAAACCAAGAAATAACAACTATGGAAAGTTCAATACTTCAATATTTCCTTATTGTAGTGTGTATGTCTCTACAACAGTACATCACTTAATCACAATAAACAATTCATTATCACGATCAACAGTCTGTTCTAATGGTGAATGAAAGTGCCTGTAAGTGTTCTTTCCAAGATTAAAGTGCTTGTGCTGTAGTAAACAGTCCTATGTTCTCTGTTCTTTCAGATCCAGTAATTGCGGATAATTTATGGACGTTCCCGAGGAGCCTCAGACGGACCCGTTTCTTCTCGGCTTTCTCAAAGAGGCCACAGAACAAAATCTATATATCCCAATATCATTCAAAGACAGAGATTTTTTTTTACAAACACTGTTTTCAACATCTTCCTTCTGTGAAAACGGTACTTGTAAAAAAAAAAATTCTGTCTTTGATACTGGGATATATAGATTTTGTTCCGTTGCCTCTTTGAGGAAGCGGAGAAGAAACAGAATTAAAGGTCAACAAGTCCGTCAGAGGCTCCACAAGAACGTCCATAAATCATCCACAATTACTGGATCCGAAAGAACAAAGGACCGTTTTACTACAGCACAAGCACTTTAATCTTAGAAGGAGCACTTACAGGCACTTTCATTCATCGCTGGAATGGACGGCTGATAGTGATAATGAATAATTGCTATTGTGATTAAGAAGAAGAAGAAGAAGAAGAAGAGATTGGATTTATACTCCGCCGTTCTCTACCCAAGGGAGTCTCAGAGCAGTTTACAATCTCCTTTCCCTTCCCCTCCCCACAACAGACACCCTGTGAGGTAGGCGGGGCTGAGAGAGCTCTGACAGAAATGGCTCTTTTTCAAGAACAGCTGTGCCAGAACTGTGGCTTGCCCAAAGTCATCCAGCAGGTGCAAGTAGAGGAGTGGGGGAATCAAGCCCGGTTCTCCCAGATAAGAGTCCGCACTCTTAACCACTACACCAAACTGGCTCTCTCCCTCCATTAAGACATGTACTGTTGTAGAGACATATGCACAATAATAAGAAAATATTGAAGTGTTGAACTTTCCGGAGTTGCTGTTTCACGGTTCTTGTATTTTTTGATTAAACCTCCAGGTGGTGGCTGGATTTCCCCTGGGATTACAACTGACCTCCAGGAAATGGACATCAGTCCACCCGGAGAAGAAGGCCTCTTGGGAAGACGGACTCTGTGGCATTAGACCTCACTGAGGTCCCTCCCCCTCTTCCCCAAGCCCCGCCCCCCTCAGGCTCCACCCTCAAAATCTCCAGGTATCGCCCAATCTGGAGGTGGCAACACTAAGTATAAGCCTAGGCTCCCAGACGACAACTGTACCCCCACCCCATAACCACTAGCTGTCGCTCGTCTCTTACGACCGGAAAGCTGCAGAAAGCCAACAGAGACCGTCAGAGAACCAAATTAAATGGAACCAAGCAGCGTTCCCTCTAAGCTGAGTCAGTGTGAGCCAGCTCAGTTTTTTTAGCCTCCGGCTCACACGGTTTTGTCTCAGGTCAGGAAGGGAGGGCTCCAGAGCGGACCGATTGATGCAGCAGCCCAGTCGCTCGCTCACAACTTTAATGCCAGCAGCTCACAAAGTACAATTTTTGTCCACAAGACTGCACGGCTTAGAGGGAGCGTTGGTACCAAGTCCTCTCGAGGAATCCAGAATTAATCACTTAAATGTCACTGGGGAGTATTAGCAAATGCTCTCCTGCACACGCTACGTCGTTCAGGAGAAGAGAACCTCGCCCTGGGCTACAGCTGCCTCCTCACTCTCTGGCGCTCCACTGCTCCCAAGGACCAGACTCACCACTGGCCGGTCTAGATTCCAAGGTCAGGATGGGGCAGGTGGCTTCCACGTCGTAGAGGACGGCGTCGCCCGTCTGGAAGGCAGCCACGGCGTGCGAGGGGTCGGTGCTGGAGAACGTGACGGAGGTCGGGATTCCGTGCTCTGTGGAAGGAGACGACGGAGGCAAGCGTTTGGACGCCGGCTCTGGCCAAACGGTGCCACCCCCGCTGTGGCAGTAAAGCAGTGCTTTGCGAGAGCTGGCGCAGTGTCATGGTTAGAGGGGCAGGCGAGGATCGGGTTCGAATCCCTGCTTTGCCGCAGAAGCTTGCCGGGTGACACATTCGCAGCCTAGCCTACCTCACAGGGTTGTTGTGAGGATAAAACGGAGGAGGGAATGCTGTGTTTAAGCTCCCTTGGGTCCCCGCTGGGGAGGAAGGCCTGACGTCGCCTCCTGGGCAGAGCTCTGGGATTCAGAGGCTTAGTGCCTCTGAATGTGGAGGTTCCCCTCAGTCGCCATGGCTGGTAGCCATCGATAAGACTTGTCCTCCACGAATCTCTCCAATCCCCTTTTAAAAGCTCTCTGTGCCTGTGGCCGCCACGACATCCGCTGGCAGCGAATTCCACACCTGAATCCCTCTCTGTGTAAAGTGGTGTTTCCTTTCGTCCGTCCTGAACCTACTGCCCATCAGCTTCATGGAATGGGGAGAGGGATACGCATTTATGTTGGTCGACTCTCTCCACCCCAGGTATAATTCCATAAAACTCTGCCATATCCCCACTTAGTCGTCTCTTTTCTAAGCTGAGAGTCCCAGGTTCTTCAGCCTTTCCTCCTAGGAAGGTGCACCAACTAGAGATGTAAAATTTCCGGAAATTTTGAAGCTCGGAAAAAAACCCATTTTTTTTCCCTGTTTTTTTTCGGGGAAAAACGGAAATTTTCGGGAAAAATGAAAAAAATGCTACATTAGGATTTATTTTGTCTTTTCTAGATTGAAAGTCATTTTGTTACTTTAGGAACATAAAATATGACTATGGACATTTTTATTTGGCATGAAATTATCACAACTAGCCTATTAAAAACATAGTGTATCCAAAAAAATTATTACAAACAGAATACCCACCCACATGCAAAAACAAAACTGAAACCTTTTTATTTTCTTCTGACAATCGCACCTCCCAAAGGAAGAAATGCATCTTGCTCTTGCACTGGAGGGTTCAGTTTGTAACCTAGGACTTGCTTGTCCTCAGTGCACAGAAATTAGATCAATCTGATACCATATATATATATTTTTTTAGAAATGATTTGGAAAATATTTGAACACCTTGTCTTAAAATATTTTATTCGTCATGTTAAAATAAAATGTTTCATAATCATATTTCTTTTCTTTTCTTTTTTCAATTTTTCCAATTTTTCAGAAAAAAAACAAAAAAGGCTTCAGGAAAAAAACGGGAAAAACCGTGGGAGGGGGCACGCGGACACACCGACAATGCCTTCTCCATCTGGGTGGGGGGAGAGAAGGCTGCTCTTAGAGCCTTCGAGAGAAGTCACCACTTCAGAAAGCACGTGCTCCCTCTACTGTTCATACCGAGAGCGACGGCCAGGGAATGCCTTTTTTAAAAAATTAAAGCCAACCTAAGTATCAGAGAACAGCAAGCGAGCTTTGGAGTAACACAAACTCTTCGCCAGGGCAGGTGTTTGAATCAAAGGGGGTGCCTGAATGCAGACCACGAGCTCTCCCGTCATACCGTTTGCATGGTTTTAAGAACATAGATGCAGCGGGCCAACAGCGCAAGCCTGGGCAGGGCTATACCAGTCTAAGCCCACAGACTGGAGTAACCAGACAGGACTGCACTGCTAACTAGAAGGAGAAGAGATTGGATTTATACCCCGCCCTTCACTCAGAGTCTCAGAGCAGCTTACAAACTCCTTTCCCTTCTCCTCCCTGCAACAGACACCCTGGGAGGTGGGTGGGGCTGAGAGAGCTCTTTCGAGGACTGCCCTTCAAGAAGAGAAGAGATTGGATTTATACCCCTTCCTTCACTACCCGAAGGAGTCTCAGAGCGGCTTACAACCTCCTTTCCCTTCCCCTCCCCGCAACAGACACCCTGGGAGGTGGGTGGAACTGAGAGAGCTCTCTTGAGGACTGCCCTTGCGAGAACAGCTCCAAGAGAACTTGTTTGGGTTTTTTTGGAAAGTTTTATTTATAATTTTTTCACATCATTGACATAGATGTTATCTGTTACATTAACTTAATGACCATATTGTGAGTCTATTACAGTGTTTACTTTCTAGCCACATATAAAATCTATACCATCTTTCTTTAAATACATTGTCATCTTTTCCTTGTAATATTATAGTCAACTTATCCATTTCTGCTATTTCTAGCATTCTATAAATCAGTTCTTCCCTCAAAGGTATCTTTTCTAATTTCCAATATTTCACAAAAAGAATGCGAGCCGATGTTAACGTATACGTTAATACAAACTGATCTGCTTTTTTATATTTGTCTAGTGCCATATTTAATAAAAATACTTCTGGTATACTGTAGGTCAATATCCATAATTTCATATATTAATTTATGTACTTTACACCAGGAGTTTTGTGTTATGCTGCACCTCTACCACAGCTCCGAGAGAACTTGTGACTGACCCAAGTTCACAGATAAAGGTGGCTCGAATCCCTAAACCCTTTGACATGTTTTGTACTCCAATCCACAAGAATAACACACAGTCCCAAGACAGTCTGGTATGAAAAAAATATATACAGATGTGAGCTAGATGCCCACAGAATAATACAATGACAAAAGAGACTAGATTAAAGCCATAGCATCATTTAATGTCTGGGGCTGTGGTGACTCAAGTGGTTAAGACGCTGAACTGCAGACCGGAAGGTCGGTAATTCAGCAGTTCGAGGCCCGAGTGCCGCAGGATGGAGTCAGCTCCCGTCTCTGGCCCCAGCTCCTGCCAACCTAGCAGTTCAAAAGCAAGAAATTGCAAGTAGATAAATAGGTACCACTTCGGTGGGAAGGGAACAGCGCTCTGTGCACCTCGGCATCTAGTCATGCCGGCCACGTGACCACGGAAATGTCTTCGGACAGCGCTGGCTCTTCGACTTGGAAACGGAGATGAGCACCACAACCCTAGAGTTGGATTCGACTGGCTTTTGAGCAAGGGAAACTTTTACCTTTACCTGATGAAAAATAACCACTTATTCCGACTCTCTCAGTCAATATCCTTCCAACAGTCTTGAATTCTCAAAAGCTGTCTGCTCCAAATTCAATCTCTTCTTCAACACTTATTCCGGATATTTAAGTGTTTCAGACCTCTGAACCCAGACATTTGACTTCGGCAGCACCGGCAGCATGCTTGAAAATAAGTGAGGAGCCCTTGCCCAAGTAGATTAACAGAAAAGTAAATCAATGAATGTGTCAACCTGAAGGTAACACTGAACGTGAGATTCCTATATAGGACTTGTTCCTGAGGAAAGACCAGAGGTCTGAAACACTTAAATATCCGGAATAAGTGTTGAAAGAGAGATTGAATTTATCCGGAATAAGTGTTGATGGATTGAATTTGGAGCAGACTGCTATGTGAAATGTTATTGGCCTTTGTATTTTTTTCTATGAAGGAATGAGTGGTTGTTTTTCATTGCCGGACGCTAAATGACGTTATGGCTTTAATCTAGTCTCTTTTACCATTGTATTAGTCTGTCGGCATCTAGCACGCATCTGTGTATATATTTTTGCATACCAGAACGTTTTGTACTCCAGCCCGACAATGTGTTCTGAGAAACTTAAAACGCTGCTCCCTCTTTTGTGACATTTTGGGGTCCCCCCCACCCCAACCTAGCAGTTCGAAAGCAAGAAATTGCAAGTAGATAAATAGGGACCACTTCGGTGGGAAGGGAACAGCGTTCCGTGCGCCTTGGTGTTTAGTCACGCCGGCCACATGACCACGGAAACGTCTTCGGACAGTGCTGGCTCTTTGGCTTTGAAACGGAGATGAGCACCGCAACCCTAGAGTCGGACTCGACTGGCTTTCGAGCAAGGGAACCTTTACCTTTTACCCACCCCCAAAAAACCCTACACCGCTGTCATTTTTGGAATTTTGCTATGGACCACACAGCTGGAAAGGACCTCAAGAGTCATCTATTCCAACCCCTGGCCCAATGCAGGAAATTTGCAGCTACCTCCCCCACCCCCCCCCCCCCCCCCCGGTGTCCCCTGCTCTATGCCCAGAGGAAGGCAAAAAACCCTCTAGGATCCCTGGGCCAATCTGGCCTGGAGGAAAATTCCTTCCTGACCTTAAAGTGGAGATCGGCGTCACCCTGGGCTCACCCCTTCCTACCCTCTCTAGACTATCTGCAACCTGGGGCTACCTCCTTTCACCGTGACTACTTAACATCACAGTACACAACGTTCTCTTAACTGGCTACTGCTACCATTCTTATAGCTCCTGAGATGGGGACCACGAGAGGCAGGCAGGAGACACAACACGAGAGCCCTCAGGAGGATCCAAGACACACACCTCCAAGACACACACACACACCCCTCCGGCCACTGGACCCATCGGAGGGGGCTTCCGCAGCGTAACTCACCGCTCCCCGTGCTGTAGGTGCTGAGGCAGGAAGAGCTACTGCTCGGGTCCCAGACCCTAACCGTGCCGTCTGCCGAGCAGGACGCCAGGCGGTTCTTGGAGGGGCTGAACGCCAAGCCCCAGACGGAGTCTGCGTGGCCGTCCAGGACCTTGCCGAGGATGCTCGGATCTGCGGCAGAAACAAACCGACACACACACACACGCAAACACACAACATGAGTGCCAGTGGCTTGCAGTGGTGTGAATTTATACAACAATCACGGGATCCGGCCGGTTCCATGTCACCCAGGGCTGCCAATTTCCAGGGGTGTGTGTGTATGTGTGTGTATGTGTGTGTGTGTGAATCACTGTTTTTACTGTAGGCATTGTGCGAATCTAAAGTCTATTTTGTTAAGAGTCAATTCATGCCTTGGTTAGAGCGATTCTTGAGAAAGAAGAAGAAGAGAAGAGATTGGATTTCTACCCCGCCCTTCACTTGGAGTCTCAGAGCGGCTTACCATCTCCTTTCCCTTCCCCTCCCCACAACAGACACCCTGTGAGGCGGGTGGGGCTGAGAGAGCTCTGGCAGAAACTGCTCTTTCAGGAACAGCTGTGCCAGAGCTTGTGACTGACCCAAGGTCACACCAGCAGGTGCAAGTGGGGGAGTGGGGAATCAAACCCGGTTCTCCCAGATTAGAGTCTGCACACTTAACCACTACACCAAACTGGCTGGAAAGAAGGCTGGAGATGGCTTGTCAACCGGGAAGTCGTTGTATCGCTTGTGTCTTGGCAGTGAGGGTTTATTTATTTATTTATTCCACTTGTATCCCGTCCTCCCCGCTAACAGGCTCAGGGCGGCTTAAGTCGGTACAAGGTACCATAAAGTCCACATCAAAACATTTTTTAAACGATCAGGTAATCATAAAGGGTTATTTGCCCTACAGTGGTGGGACTGTTGGATCGTCTTGTCTACAAGCAGCAGGCTCTGAGACAAAATACCACTTTCGGATGACGTTGCACGGGAGCTAGCTATTTAGATAGGAGAATTTTTGGACTGCTCTCCTTATATCCCTCGTTACTTTGATTACGTACCTGACTGCCTATATACGAATGTATACTGCAACGCTCTCTACATGGGGCTGCCCTTGTCTCAAATTCGGAAGCTGCAGCTAGTGCAAAATGCGGTGGCCAGGCTGTTGATGAGTCTTTCAATACGGGACCACATCCAGCTTGTGCTGAAGGCACTGCACTGGCTGCCAGTAGCCTGCCGGATTCGTTTCAAGGTGCTGGTTTTGACCTTTAAAGCCCTATATGGTCTGGGACCAGTGTTCCCTCTAAGCTGAGTTAGTGTGAGCTAGCCCACAGTTCTTTAACCTCCAGCTCACAGATTTTTGCCTTAGCTCAAGAAGGGATGGCTCCAGAGCAAACTGATTTATGCAGTAGCCAAATTGCTTGCCCACAACTTTAATGCCAATGGCTCACAAAGTAGAATTTCTGCTCAAAAGACTCCACAGCTTAGAGGGAATATGGTCTGGGACCTGCCTACCTGAGGGACCGCCTCTCCCCAGACGTGCCCCAGAGAGCAGTGTGGTCAGGGTCGCAACAACGCCTGACTCTCCCTGGCCCGAAAGATGCCAGTTTGACCATTACTAGAGCCTTCTCAGTGGCGGCTCCACACTGGTGGAACGAGCTCCCGGGGAACATCAGGGCCCTGCGGGACCTTTTACAGTTCCGCAGGGCCTGCAAGACGGAGCTCTTCCGTCAGGCTTTTGATTAGGAGCCGCCACTGATAAATGAGCCACCGGGATACATCATGGCCATATGATATACTGCTGGATACCGCCTTTCATCTAAGGGATCATTTAACGAATGCCGCCACATACTGCATTCTCTATGCTAGAATTAAGCAGGGTCAGCCCTGCATAGTGCTTTGGATGGGAGACCACCAAGGAAGTCCGGGGTTGTTAAGCAGAGGCAGGCAAGGGCAAACCCCTCCTGTACACCTCTAGGCTTGACCTGGATGGCCCAGGTTGGCCCAGTACTGCTAGATCCTAGATGCTAAGCAGGGTCGGCCCCTGGTGAGTGCTTGGATAGGAGACCACCGAGGAAGCCCAGGGTTGCTACGCAGAGGCAGGCGATGGCCCACCGCCTCCGAACATCTCATGCCTTGGAAACCCTCGGGAGGGGGTCGACGTAGGTCAGCTGCAACTTGGCAACACTTTTCTCCACCGCCGCCGCCACCCAGGAACGTGAGACACAGCCGCCGGAGAACACCCAGCCCCCTCGCCTACCGTAACCGTCGTAGGGGTCCATGCCCAGATCCGGGATCCTCCAGCAACGGATCCTGGTGTCCGTTCCTCCGCTGTAGCAGTATTCGCTGTTGGGGCCCATGGCGACTGAGAGCACCGGGCCCCTAACGAGGAACATAAGAGAACACAAGAACATAAGAGACGCCAATGTTGGATCAGGCCAAAGGCCCATCCAGTCCAACACTCTGCGTCACACAGTGGCCAGAAATACCAGTGCCGTGTTTGTTTGTTTCTTTGTAGCATTTATAGTCCGCCCACCCTGCAAGCGGGCTCAGGGCAGCTCACATCGCTTGGCACAATGTGCTCAGGATTCATATACACGTTTAAAACATTAAAACATTTTACACATTTAAAACGATCAACGATTTCAAGTCAAAGTGCACACACTGATTATTAAGCAAGACGGTGTGCCCTTGCCGTCATAGTCATTTGACACACATGGAGCTGTCATAGTTATTTCACAGAAAACTCCCATTGTTACTCCAACACCTATAACTCTTTTATATCACCCATTTGTATTTCAAGTGCAACATTAGTAAAATAGTCAAATCTACAAGAATCTTTGATTCAACAGCACTCAGTTTCAACCATATTAACTAACTAAAACATTCTACGTAGGGAGTCAAAGAGACTCAATCCTTTATTGGAATGTTATTTTTTCCTTCTTCACAAGTTACTACATAATAACACTTTCAAAGACCGTATTAGCTAAGGAAGAAATCTGGGTATTTTTTCCCCTATCAAAATATTTTTTTTGGGGGGGGGGATTTTCATCAAAAGGCCAAAATTATGATAACCTAATTATTTTTAGAAAGAGCAGCTTTCAAACCTTAATTGAACGTTCAAATTTTTTATAACATCAGCTTTTTAAAAAGGCTTTCTCAAGGATGTTCTATAAAAACATTTTGGACACTTGACAGCAATGTTCCCTCTAAGCTGAGTTAGTGTGAGCTAGCTCACAGTTCTTTAGCCTCCGGCTCACACATTTTTGCCTTCGCTCAGGAAGGAGGGCTCCAGAGCAAACTAATTCGTGCAGCAGCCAAATGGCTCGCTCACAACTTTAATGCCAGTAGCTCACAAGGTAGAACTTTTGCTCACAAGACTCCGCAGCTTAGAGGGAGCGTTGCTTGACAGCATAGATGAATTGTAAGGTAATCTAGGTAAAAAGGCACAACCTGGGGGCCAATGGGGGCGGGAGAAGCAGGCACACTCCTGGGCTTTAACAGGGGGCTGCCTTCCAGCTCCAGCTGCAGCTCATGAACCATGTCCCAGGGAAGAAGAAGAGGAAGGGATTGGATTTATACCCGGCCCTTCACTACCCGAAGGTGTCTCAGAGCGGCTGACAAACTCCTTCCCCTTCCCCTCCCCACAACAGACACCCTGGGAGGTAGGCGGGGCTGAGAGAGCTCTTGACAGAAACTGCTCTTTTTTCAAGGACAG